GTGCTTAAGGACATGGTTTAGTGGTGGGATGTCAGGGTTAGGTTAACGGTTGGACTTGATGATCTTAAAGGTCTTTTCCAACTAGACGATTCTATGATTCTATACAAACATCAGTACGGACAACTTGAACTCACAGCACATCCATGGTCACTAAAAACATATTGGCCCAGAATGAAGATGATAGCAAGCTAGTAAGAAGCCACTACAGAAAAATATCTTCTCTAAAGAGGATTCTTCCCTTCCATGTTGCCACAAAAATGAACTAACAGAACTAGAACTACAATGCTGTTGGTTATCTCCTTCTGTGAAGTACAAGAAAATGAAGATTGACTTTTCTGCCATTGCTTCTTGCAGAGTATATCGGTGTTTAACTTGTCTGAATGGGAACCAAGTTTCCTGTACAGTTAGTATGGGACACTGTGGAAGGTGGAAGGGAAATCAGAAGCGCAGGTGAGACTGAGAGCGGAAAATAAAATCTAGACATAAAAGTATATAAGGCTAGTAATTGATTACTTTCAATTACCTTTTTAGGAGTTAACTTGGCAAGTTGCTTTCTGTTGCTGTCTTTCCCTGTCCCTCCCCCAAATCACTAGTCCATAGCATTTTGGTTTATTGTGCACATAAAGGCTGTTGGCTATAGATACACATGAATGTGAAAAGTATTATGTCCTTTGTATTAGCCTTTGGTGTTGGTGTTAGATTATGGTTTTCCTTTTTTTAATAGGAATCTGAAGTGATTTCAAATGTGTTTCCTAGCTCTTCAACTAATGGCTCCTCAGGTAAAATCAATAAAATGTAATTACAAACATGCACCTGGATGAACTGAGAGTACTTTTCATTCTTTCTGAAAGAAAAATTTAATATTTTCGTGCAGATAAATAAGATCTAGTAGAAACTATATTTCTGTTTTGCACTTGCTGGAATGACACCACTTGCTCTAAATTACATGTTCCAGAGCAGTGCTCCCCAATAACTGAAAACCTCATTTTCCGTTCAGTATTTTTTGAAAGTGCTATCTGCAACAATGAGTCATCATCTGCTGCAGCACAACATCCTGCTCTTTCCAAGCATCTGCAGCCCTCTAAAAGTAGGATCTTTTAATGACATATGTAATTCACTGCATTGCCTTGCTGCAGTAAAACCCCATTAATCATTGTTTATCTTGCTTAATGAAACTACATGAGAAAATGACAGAATCTCAGACTTGTATGTGAATCTTAAAAAAGCTAATGTTAATGTTAAAAATCTTAATGATTGTCTTCATTTTCATTCGGCTCAGTAGAAGATCAGCAACTCCAAACCTGAAAGAGTACACTGTTATAACTTGTTTATAATAGCTTTCCTGGAGTATTTTAAGGGTTTAAAATACCGGGTCAAAAGTATTAGCACTATAAAATGCTTTTTGGTTGTTTTCTCTCAGCTTGCCGAAATTGCAGCGATGTTCAATTTAATGTAACTAAATTCACTGAGGCATCATCTGAGATTTGGTGTAAACTGCAACTCTAAATAAGTGTATGTCTTACTAGCACAGCTGGAAATAATTAACTTCAATAAAACTCTCATTCCTTGTTTTAATAAGGTTCAGCAATTCAAGTTATGAAACATTTTACAAATAAAATTAATCAGTTAGAAGACTTTTCTCTCATTTGAGATTACTTTTCTGTTTCCCACTTTCTCTGGACATACATGTATCTATGAAAGTTACCCTGGTTTTCTGTACATTTTGTGTGAGTGATATTGTAGGCAAGGCTTTATTTTCCTAGCTTATAGAAAAAGAGCAAGTGGCAGAAAGAAAAGCTGCGTTTCTCTCACCTGCTTAGGCGTCACCCCAGGCATGCGAATGTCCAACGCAAAATCTGACAGACCAAGTGAAATCACTGGCCGGTCACTTCCAAGGCATTCACTGGAAAGAGATCTGGTAGTATCCTTATACCTTTAAGAGAAGGAGGAAAGTTTTTTTGAAATACTGATTTATTTATTTTTTCTAAAAAGAAGGGTCTTCAGAACTAGTAAAGAAGTTTGATAATGCTGAGTAGGCTCCAGGGGTGGTCTGGAAATTTCACTCCCTCATGAGCCAAGGAAAACATTTTAGTTATCAAGCACTTGCTGAAGTAGTTGCTCTGAGCAATCAGGCAGACTAGTTTGGAAAACATTAGCTGAAAACATAACCTGTCATCTCATCTAAATAATTGTCTGAGGTACACGGACGTATAGATAGAGAATTAATTCACTAGAAAATGTCAAGTATTATTCATCGTTCACAATAGTTCTTTTTTTTTTTTAAGACTATGTACTTGACATATAATTTAATATAGATTAAATTTAAATAAAGTGTAAAGGGGAAATTTTTAAATCCAACACGACATTTAAAGCAACTCCTATTATAAGGAGCAAAGTAGAAAAGTAAGTTTTACAACTTCACATGAATAGCAGGGTCTGTATTGAATGCAATGTATAAACAAATTGTAAAAAAAAAATGTAGATCACTGTAAGGAACTAAATGGTAAGACATCCGAAACATAATGCAACATGGGTATCAATTTTGAGTATGTATATTCATGTATATAAAAGTGACATGGTAACTACAGTGCCCAATATACCTCACAAACAGTAAAACACTTTTGTGGAGAGGTAAGAGGCTACTTCTCTTGCCCACACTATATTAAAGTTTACCTATGCAATTTTGCATTCAAAATCTCCCAAATTTCCCAGGATTTCACAGTTTTACGCTAGTTGATGCTTTCTCATTAAAACATCATTTTAGACTGCAAGCTAACTTGAGCAGCTGAAATATATTTACTCCCTGTATAATACACCTGTGGCATTATCTAAAAAGTTCTATTAATTGTTGTTTTATTATGCTAAACTCACATGGATAAAACAGGAGTTTCTGTCTTCAATATGAGAAGAGTGCCATTTCAACACTGCAGAAAGAAAATTCAGGGCAAGGGAGCAAAACCGAACAAATACCATGCACACTTTTATCTAGGGCATGCTTTTTCATATTTCCGTAATATCTTTAGTGGCTGCATGCATTCAACACATAACATATTCCTGCACAACCCACCTCTTGAAGAGAGAAAGTGGGCTTCTGAAACCCAAACAGATGTTTTGAAAAACAAGAAACGGTATTAGCAGGTTGTTAATGAGGCCAGCCATGTCCACCCTGCTGTTCCTGGCCCGATTAAGGGAGAAGAAAAGGGGCAGTGCAGTTCTTTCGGCTGTGATCCTGACAATTAGGCGGCGACGGCAGCAGTATCAATTCACTACTTCATTATCATGTGCTCTGCAGGCATCCTCCAGCTTCTGACAGACCATCTGTCTTGGAAGGTGACGCGTTGTAAATCAGAAAGGTGGATGGTGCTACGTTGTTTTTATTATTAGCTGTAAAAATCTGTTGAAGAGTCTTCCCTTGCAGATAGATGACACTGTACTTCTGCCCACTGAAGCAGATGAAAAGAAGTAGCACTCCTGACGCTTTCTCCCCAGGTTGTGCAGTTAAATCTGCACATTACTTATCAATCCACAGTGCCAGATACTCCAAGTGGCATCGCAGAAACTAACGTCAGTCATCCTTCAGAACCTGTAAAAATAGAAGCGGATAAAGGATGACTAACACATTACAGCATTAGTTCTCAGCAAATCCCAGCTGAGGCATTTTAATACATTAGTAACTTCTTTCACAAGCTTTAGCCCAACCCAGTGAAGATTGCACCAAGTCTCTTGATTCCTCCATTTCCTCCCCTCTCATGCACACAGGGTCAGAAGCTGACACATTTCATATTGATCTACAAATTGCACTCTCAAGTACATTTTACGTAACAGGAAGAAATATAAAAAAGCCCTCAATATACAAAGGCAAAGCATGGCATATTTCACCCACACAAACAGTAGTATAAAGCGTTCTACAAGCAGCAAAAAAAGCCAAACACTGACAAGGCAAGGACCAAGGTTTTCAAATTTTATCAACTGTCACTAAGTGCTTCTGCACATGTTGCAGGTTAGGAGAATGTTTTACTTTTAACACAACCTGTAATACACCATTATGTCATAAAAGTACCTGTTTCTTAGTGCTTCAGCTACTTTTTATATCCACTTCAGAAAACTCATACTTAATTATTTTCAGAAATACTGCAACAAGAACTACTGAGATCAGACCGCTTTATATTAGTTGAATTCTTTTCGATCCTTTCATACATTGAGGTTATATCAGTGTGAACTGTTACTCTCCTCATTACTTGAACTGTTCTTAAGTTCCCATTTTGGTTGATGCAACATTTTCATTTCAAAATTTTAATTTTTTTTATAAGTATGCTAGAAAAATCACACTGTGTGTTTACTAAAGACATTTATTTGTATTTTTACTGAGCATTCAGATGCTGGCAGAAGAAAAATTTCAAGTCATGAATAAAGTCAAAATCTTTAAAATGTATTGTGTAGTAATTCTTTTAAGATAAGTATTAACAGGAAAAAAACACCCAAACCCAACTATCTCCCAGCTGCTGTAAGGCGTAGTCAAAATACTGCTGTAAGGATGAATAGAAAAGAAGGATTCTGAAATTAAACACAATTAAAATTAATATGGTTTACAAAAAAAATCACTTCCATCTCAGGGTACATGTACCAGAAAGGCTTCTTATGAAACAAAAGTATTTATGCATAGACTAAGAAGCCATGCTCGCCACTTGTCTGTTGTTTAGCAGCTACACTAGATTTGCATTGAACAATTTGTAAGATATAAAAACCTGACTACATTAATCATCATTAAACTTGCGTATTTTATTCATTGAAGGATGACACAAAAGATTCAGTCACAAACAACTAAAAATAGACTTCATCTTGTTTTCAGCTTGCCAAAATCATGCCAACGCTGTCCAAAATAATGCATTCAAGCAACGATACAAGCCTAATTCTTTTTTTGAAGTAATTTTTCATGTCTTAATTTCTGTAATATAACCATTTTCGCTAGTGAACTACGGAAAGCTGCAAAACATATAAAGGACTGACGAAAACCAAAAACCAATAAAAAAATGACAAGTGTGATATGCTTCACAAAAAGTTAAGACAACTATAAAAACAGAAGGCTTCATTACTTCTAGTCTTTGTAAGCCACCTGGCTAGAAGTTCTAGTATTTTTTAAATTTGTATTATCCAAGAAATTATGCCTTTATTTTCAGGTCAGAGCAAGAGCTCTGAAGAACAGAGGCAGGACAAGTACACTGGATTTTAACATACAAGGAGGTACAGTGTTCTGACTTAATTTGTTGGGATCTGAAAAGATATTTTCCAGTGACTAGAAATAAAAACAAAATTTTTGCTGGCTTCAAGAAGTCTGAGATTGATTACACCGAGTCTACAGCTACCTGGTATATGAATTAATAAAAGAAAGCTGCTGAGAAACCTGATCATCTGAATTACGAGGGTTTCTTTACAGCAGCTTTTAATTCTCACTGCAGAGTTAAGCATGGTAATAGCAAAAATCACCAGAACACACCTTAATGTTACAGAGGAAAATCTCACGATTCATGGTTTTTAGAATGCTGACCACAAAGCAGGAGGGGGGAGAGAAAGGGGAATCTGGAATTACCTAGGAAAGCTAAAAAATTAAATCTGTAGTAAGATAAATACAGGTATGACTAACATCTGTACATTCTACTTAAAAAATAGGCCAAGTTAATCTACAAGCTTTGTTTTTAACTTTTTATCAGTTTTATCAGCGAGATGGATATGAAACGAGTAAAAATTTAATGCACCTGGTACTTAAGATTAGACCCCTGCACAAGCAAATTTTACATTTGGGAAAAAAACAATTTAAAAAAAAAAAAACAAAACCAAAAAACCCCAAAACTAGAAAAGGGCAGCACCATCCTGAAGAGATTTCAACGCAATTTTTAGGTATGAGGCAATACACAAGAATACCAGACAACAAGGGAAAAAAGTGAGGATGAGAGATTCAATAAAAAGATTACACAGTTACTTAGGTTCATTATGTGGACATCTTGATAGCACTGTTTTGCTTTCAATTTGGGGTAAAAGATCCCATGGGAACACAAGAAGTGAAGTAAAAAAGACGTAATTAACGACAAAGACTAGAGTGGAAGGGGAGAGAGAGAGAGATGAAAATTAGATTGGGCAATGTAAGCATGTTACTTTATCCTACATGCCCCACCCAGACATAGCAGAAAACAATTACATATAACAAGGGAGTGAAGAAAAACAAAATAGCCAACAGCAACTAGCATGAGGACATCTTAATGAATAAGCTGAGGGAGAAAAGTGGCCAAGAAGCTGGAATTCAAAATACAATTCAAACTACCAAGCAAAATAAAGTAGCAATATTTCAATGGGATGTTATACGAATTAAACACTGAGTCTTTTAAAAGAATAGCAATTAAATGATCAATTTCCAAAATCGAATTACAGAAAAAAGGCGTCACCACATTAACCCCAAGTTCATAAACCACATTGTAGTAATTCCTTGTTCTCAGTTTAGTCACTAGAACATTTTATATACAGCACCAAGTGAACAAGGCACAAGCAGAAACCTCACCATAACCACCTTCAAAGAAAAAAAAAAATGGTCAAAGCTTATGGGAACTGATATGAAAATCTATCACAGGTGGTAATTTATTGTAGTTGATCGGGAGAGCAATCACCAGAAACACAGATGTATAATGCTGATGACACCAAACTGGCTGATAGGCCAGAGAGTCATGCTGCCATCCAGAGGCTGGAGAAATGGGCTGACAGGAACCTCGTGAAGTTCAACAAGGGGAAGGAAGTGCAAAGTCCTGCACCTGGGGAGGAACAACCCCCGCCACCAGTACATGCTGGGGGACACCCAGCTGGAAAGCAGCTTGGCAGAAAAGGCCTTGGGGGGGTCCTTACAGATGGCAAATTGAACATGAGCCAGCCATGCGCCCTTGCTGCAAAGAAGGCTAACGGTATTCTCGGCTGCATTAGCCAAAGTATTGTCAGCAGGTAAAGGGAGGTGATCCTTCCCCTCAGCACTGGTGAGGCCACACCTGGAGTACTGTGGCCAGTGCTGGGCTTCCCATACAAGAGAGACATGGACATACTGGAGAGAGTTCAAGGAAGGACCACAAAGATGATGAAAGCAACTGGAGCATCTCTTCTCTGAGAAAAGGATAAGAGAGATGGGACTGTTCAGCCTGGAGAAGAGAAGGCTCAGGGAGATCTCACCAATGCATATAAATAACTGAAGGGAGGGTGCCAACTGTATGAGATTCAACATGGAAGAGAGTGGCTGGAGACCTGCCCAGCAGAAAAGGCCTGAGGGGATTGATCGGTCAACAGCCAGCTGAATATGAGCCAGCAGTGTGGCTAGGTGGCCAAGAAGGCCAACAGCATCCAGGTTCTTATCAGAAATAATGTGGCCAGCAGGACCAGGGAAGCAATTGTGCCCCTGTATTTGGTACTGGTGAGGCCACACCTCAAATACTGTGTTCAGTTTTGGGTCCCTCACTACAAGAAAGACACCGAGTTGCTGGGGCTTGTGCAAAGAAGGGCAACAAAGCTGGTGAAGGATCTGGAGCACAAGTCTTCTGAGGAGCAGCTGAGGGAACTGGGGTTGTTTAGCCTGAAAAAAAGGAGACTGAGGGGAGACCTTATCGCTCTCTACAACCACCTGAAAGGAGGTCGTAGTGAGGTGGGTGTTGGTCTCTTCTCCCAAGACACAAGTGATAGGATGAGAGGAAATGACCTCGAGGTGCACCAGGGTAGGTTTAGACTGGATGGGAAGAAATGTCTTCACCAAAAGGGTTGCCAAGCATTGGAACAGGCTGCCTAGGGAAGTGGTTGAGTCCCCATCCCTGAAGGTATTTAAAAGATGGGTAGACAAGGTTCTTAGGGACGTGGTTTAGTGGTTGACTGGGTAATGTTAGGTTAACGGTTGGACATGGTGATCCTAAGGGTCTTTTCCAACTTAAATTACTCTATGATTCTATTCTATGATAGGACCAGAGTCAACAGGCATAAACTGAAATGAGTCTGTGACAAAAAATTCTTTCAACATTTAAAAGTAACATACAGGGCCAGTTCAGTATGTCAATTAAAGGTAGCAAACCAATTTGAGAGAAATAGATGGCAGGTGATGTGGATAAGGGGTTACCATCCATGAAAGTTCTAGCATTCTCCATGATATGGAGAAGGTAAACAGCACCAAGGATAGATGATACCAAGGATTTTCCCTTTGGATTGTGATGGCCGATGATGAAAATTTTCTATTTCCAAACTGAGGCCTCTTGGTTACTTTCACAATTCCATGGCCCAGACAGGGCAATGAATGGATAAAATAAAGCCAGGAAAGCCAAGAAAATTCTCCACAGGTAAGCTGCTTTTACAGCTTAAAATTTTTTGGACATCAGTGAAACCATGATTACAAAAAACATAGGGCCTATGTAAGTTTTAATGCAATTTATGGTCAACCAAATGTAGCCCTATATTTAGACTTTTTTTTTTTTTTTTAAATAAGGATCAAAAGTGTCCTGACTTCTGTGTCATGTTTTTACCAAACTTTTTGGATTAAATAATACATTTATCACCTTAGAAAATTCT